CGAGCGCACAGATCACACGTTTTCCGGCCAACTCTCGAGTGGAAATCTCACTTAGCTGGGCAAACAGTCGGTCTTCTCTTCGACTAACTGACCTTCAGGGCAGATACCCCATTCTCAACGAGGTCTGTCTAACACTCGAAGCGTGATTTCCTTCGCTCGCCGTGTTTGCATAGCGCTGAATAAAAATCAATCAATGCCAATTTGTTTACCAAATCATCATAAAAACCGAGCCAAGCTATAAACCCAGTCCGCAGACTTCAGTCCCAGATAAAACTCCTCAACCTAACGGATGCGTCCGAAGGAGAACGAAATGTAATTATGGTCAAAAACAAAATTGAGCATAATCACTCCAGCAATAAAGGCAGCATTAATGTATAAAAATCGAAGCATCAAAAAAAAAAAGTCGTAGAAAAAACCCAAAGACGACAAGGAACAAAAAGCATGGGGCAAAAAAAGAAAAAACACAGCCAAAGACACGGCTTCAATTAAAAAGGCAGAAGAGGAAGGGGTTTTCAAGGGGCAGGGGCATTCAGAGCGAAGTGGAGAAAACAAGTTCATAGACCAAAGACAACGACCGCAGAAGCAGCCAAGTCTCCGGATGAATGCCGTGGGCCCCGACTTGGAACACACACAGCCACGGATATATGGTTATGGTATTGAAACGGGGGGATAGGATGGGGTTCCCTACCTATAGAACAAGCGATCTGCAGAGGATCGGGTACCTGGTGGGCGACCCAAAACAGCACACGCGTTTTTCCAACAGCCCGAGCTTTGATGTATTTGCTACAAAGTTCGCTATTAATTGGCGGTTGCTCGAATAAAAAATAATGCCTTGAATCAATTACGCTGAAAACAAATTGGAACTTCTCCCATCACCACCGCCTTTAGCTCACCGAATTTGCATTGATGATGCAATTTCTCTTACAGCCATTACGAAAGCGGGGTTCTTATGGTGAAAACCTGATCGTGGTGTTGCCATTTTCCAGCGAAAAGGGGTCCGCGGTGTCTTTGGCTCCCAGAGAGAAGATGGCCAAGAGTCTGTTGGTTCGAGCCGCTTAGCTCACAAATTGCTGGCATAGTTGCTGTTGCAGCTGTGAAAATTTGCACGCTCGGCAAACAATTTTCCTGCCCGTTAGCGGAGGAAACAGAGGGGGAAAGATCGGCTAAAATGTAGCAGCAGCATATTTGCCGCCTGCGATGAGTGGCAATGTGTTCACTTGGCCGCCCGAACTTTAATTGGTTTAGTTGCTGCTCAAAGAGATAAGCCAGCGCAATTCGCGCCATTATGCGGCTTTCTAAACGACGCTCAAATTGAAACAGCAAATTAGCGGGTACAGTCGCAGTCGCTGAGTTCAGCAGTGCCACTTGGCGTATGCGTAATAAACGCACCTGGGCGAGGACCACACGCAGGTGGGAAGCGGATCGCACATGCATATACAGCGACTGGCATTCTTAATCAACTTTCAGGCTGGGCGAGAACAAAAAACCGTTTGCCTGCTGCCTGCCAAAGTCAATAAAAATGTCAACACGGCAAATGTCATGTTGACAAGGCAGACAGAACAAAACGTGCTGGTTATGCGGCTGCTGATCCAATGGAAAAATGCCAAGAGTTTCTGGGTTCTACGGTCTGCGTTCTGGGGAATATGGACATTCTCCACCCATATAAACTTTACGAGCTTTTCCACCTCCACGCTCCTTTCTACCGTCACAGCTATTTTTATGGACAATTCAAAAATCGTTTATGACAATCGCACCGAACACGAAGCTGGCAAAGCTTTTTAATAAAACTTTTGTTGCTCTTGTTGCTGCTCTGTCAGGGATAGTAAAACAATAAAAGGATATATGGGGAAGGGCAGGACGATTGAAGGGGGGCAGAGGGGCAGTCAGTCCTGCCACATAATTGCTGTCCAGCTGAGAGACGTCGTAAAACTAAAAGCAAACAAGTCTTAATGGTGCGACACCTGTCCCTGAACTCGGAAGAGGCCATACAAGCAGTCCTCGCACAGGAAAAAATTCTTCTTAGAATTTAGCAAACTAAAACAGAATATACAAGATCATTTAAACGATTTTTAAAAACACTTAAAGGGATATTTAGATTAATAAAGATGAAACAATTTAGTCAAATTTTTAGTTGTTACATTAAATACATAATTTTTCTCTCCGTGTTAAAACAAGCGGGAACAGAAGTTTCGCACCGGACTCCCTGGTGTAACTTTCGCTGCGGATACATAGGTATTAGCAGGTATATATACCTATATCTTCACGATTATTTTTCGGCTGCTCTTCCGACATTAACCCAAATCACACAAATGACTTGAGAAAACCGCACACAAAGTGCCAAAGTGATTTGGGGCTAACCTTTTGGGCATTGTGATTCCCTCTCCTGCTTCTCTTAGCCATCCGCTAAACTGTCTTTAGAGCAGCATTGAACCGTCGCTCATCGCTCAAGCTCGCTGGCAATTTGTCAACGCGACCACCGCATAATGATCATTCATTTGGATGCCAGATAAGCGCAGACGGGGGGCTAAATATAGGCACTTGCCGCAGATCTCTTAGGGAGGAGGAGGAGGAGGAGCTGCCACAGCTGCAGCTGCCCCTCAATGGGCCAACTCTGTGTCTCTCTGGGCTGTGAACTAGTTTTCCAGAGGGCCTAGTTCTCTGGGTCAACGACTGCCAAAGTAATTGAGTCGGCGACCGCAGAAAACGGAAAACGGCAAAGGCAAACGAAGCCCTCTGCCTGTCGATCAATGCAAATAGCGTCAACAGCTGCCGACCAGGCCAAAACCGGCGGGCTTATTTCTCTTTCTGTTGCTGTTTCTGTTCCTGCAGCTCCTGTTGGCCAACAATGTTGCGCAACATGGCCAACACGCACACTAACTCACTCACTCACTCACTCACTGCACTTTCCATTTTGTTCTAGCCGCCTTAATGACTTCATAGACCTGTGCCAAATTGAAACTTGCCACAATTGCTTTGCCAATTTCACGCAATTCGCTGCAGTCAACAATAAATTTGTGCTGGTCCAGGCGAAGGCAGGAAAAAAAGAGGGCCAAGAAGAAATGCAGGTCGCACAATAAATTCGCCAGGCAGGCCCACAGGCTCCCAAGGCGAATTTATAGAGTTAGGCACAGTTTCGCCTGGTTTTTAGTTGGCCCGAAGTCGGGAACTGGTAATTTGAGTTCGAAAGCGGCTGATTTGACGGCGGCCAACACTTTGCAATCGCGGGTCTCCAGCTGCGACGCGTTGCACGTGCATGGCCGGGGATTTGAATTGGGATTTGGGTTTTGATTTCCCAGTCACCCCAGTCAAAAAGTAGTGAAAAACGTAGCAAAACTCCATTACCGTTCCCAAATGCAGTTCCCGCACGCATTCCTGCATTTACAGCTCAAAAATTCAAATGTCAAACAATTTTTTCGGGTTTTATTCCCCATTGAAAGTCGCTATCTGTGCAATTAATTTGCCGGCAAACCGCAGAAACCGCTTGGCACATGGCACTCGGCCAGCTATTGACACGTCAGTGGGTCCCAATCCCAATCCCCTACTCCATCACAGTCCCAATCCCAATCCAATAGTGAACTAGAAATAGAATTGGCAAATGTTAAATCAGGATGTGGCTGGCGAAAAGAAAGAATTCACTGGCTAAAAACAACAAAAGGGCGGACAGCATTGTTTTGATAAAACGCCCGCATGAACTCGCATTTCCAGTTCGCTTCAGTTCACTTCAGCTCGGGCCACGCCCCCGCCCACGCCCCCTACTCAGATATATATCTATCACACATATATGTATACTTATGTGGATATGGGCATGGGTATGTCTGCACAATGCACAGTTATCCTTTGATACGGCTAACAGCAAACTGCCATGAAATGGTGCGTGCTCATTTCCCCGATGTGACAAGAGAGATGCGAATGCACTACGAATGGAAAAAACCTTAATTGATGCAGGATTAAAGGGTATAGAGATTTCTTTTAAATCAAAACCATGAAGACTTCACTCGGTTCTCCTAAAGAAACTTCCATAACTCTAACATTTTATAGTTGACTCCTTTTAAAGAAAAGGCTTACGCATCTTTGTTGGATATTTCGAGATTTCTTATGCACAAATGTTTTTTAAAATTTATATTTAATTTTTCTGCATACAATCCAATCCAATTCCTAACTCCTTACTATTTTATATATTACACTAACACCCCGAATAATGTCTAAAATTATAGTAAATATGTAAATTGGCATCTGATTTAAATGATAACATACAACTCAATGCCTAATAAATTGTATTATTTACATAAAAATAGAAGCTTTTCCTTATAAAACCTTAATTTTTGTTTGGAATATATTCCATATAAAACAATAAGGTTTAATCATAGAAGTAACGAACAGATCAAACTGGTTTTGGCCAAAAATCTTTGTGATCGGAGAGGCTACAAAAAACGGGTTACAGGGCATTCCAGCCGGTCTAGGATAACAATGTCAGAAAATGGCAAAATGACAACAGCGACAGACCTGCGGGCTTTACAGCGACAACAACAACAACATAAACAACAAAAGCAACGCAGAGCTGTCGATTTGTTTGTGTAAATGCTGTGAAGCGTATATTTTTCATTTTGACGTTGGCAAAAACAACTCCCCAACGCCCCAAACCCCCACTATTTTGTCCCCGTCGAAAATAAAAAACGCATGAAAAACAAACTAAAATTGACAGCTTGTTCGACGGCAAATAGGAAGTGCAAAACCGCATAAATCCAACGAATTACAAAAGGAATACAATGAATATGATTTCCATGCGGTTTTATATTACATTAACAATATGATTCGGCTTTGCGGCGAGGGATTAACCATGTTTTTTTCTCTTTTTTTTAAGGTTTTTCCTCTGTCGCGGCCTTTAACCCTGCAGAAAAGCAGGAAATATTTTAATTAAATTTTTAAATTTTAATTAAATTCTGATTAGTCAAGCCTGTTCGCTAAGTCACGTTTTCCGCCTGTTCTTCTCGTACTTGTAGGCCCATCAGCCGAACGCCGCTAACGCAGATCTCCTATCTGCAGAAGATCCCCACGCTGCCGCGCCACTTTTCACCCAGTGGGCAGGGCCACCTGGCCACGCCCCCCGCCCTCAGCCTGCCCAGCAGCTCCTCGGCCAGCGCCCTCTATGCGGCCCAAACAGCAGCCGGCATCCTTCCCACCTCCCCCCTGCCCCTGCAGCGGCACCAGCAGTACTTGCCACCGCACCACCAACAGGGAATGGGAATGGGAATGGGTCTAGGATCGGGAGCAGCAGGAGGAGGACCGCCCATGGGCCCCCAGTATTCGCCAGGCTGCCCGTCCGCCAATCCCAAGTATTCGAATGCCCAGCTTCCGCCTCCGCCGCACCACCACCACCAGCTTTCGCCGGCCCTTTCGACGCCGTCGCCACCCTCGCTGCTCCATCATCCCGCCGGAGGAGGCACTTCCTCAGCCTCCGGACACGCCCCCTTCCTGGGCGGACCGCACATGGACATGCAGCGGCAGTCGCACTCGGACGACGACAGTGGCTGTGCTCTGGAGGAGTACACCTGGGTGCCACCAGGACTGCGGCCCGATCAGGTGAGTCTATAGTCTTTGGATTCTATGCTAGATTAAGTCTTATCCTAAACAAATTATGAGAAAATATCTTAAAGCCATAAATGAATGTGGAATATTTTAAACTAATTTTTAGGCGGGCTTCATGACCTCATTTTGTTCATAAACTATTTTCTATACATTTAAAAAATATCTTATTTTTCCAACATAAAAGATGACTACTTACCAAGTTTCTAAAAAAAATAATTGGCATCCACAAGACCCCTTCATGAATACATTCATGCTATGTGAATGAATATGCTTTTTTAGTTTAATAGAATTCAATGAATTGGATTTTTGAGTTTTATAGAACTCCATGAATGAATCGCTAAACTCCGAAAAAAAGAATTTTAACAAGAAAGGAAGCTAGCTTCGGCCAGCCGAAGCTTATATACCCTTGCAGATCATTCTTACACCCAAAAAAAAAATCCTGAGTGTCAATTTAATAACTGTGGGTTAAAATGACACTGCCCCTAGGATCAAATTTTTGGGGTCAATTTGCTCCCAAATGAGTGTCAAAAGTACACCGCGTTTTCAGAAAAATCGTATTTGATACTAAATAGTGTCATTTTGATAAAACTAGGTTCACATCGTTCCCAATAATTATCATTTTTGATTTTCGAAGTTCGAAGTTCGGCGATGTTTTACTCGAGTATCGATTTCGTTTATACTTGTCAAGAGTTCGCTCGCGCGCAAAATGGTTCGATGGCCCAGTTGGTAAGGCGTCTGCCTCGATGCGAGAGGTCCCCGGTTCGAAACCCAGATAAATCATAGTAGGTAAAAAGTTTTTAAAATGCATATATATCATTTTAAGAACAAAAATGTTAAGTTGTGTTAGATTACTGATAAAAAAAAAAATAATGGTGTTGCGAGCGGGATTCGAACCTCGTTCCCCGAGCACAAAATAATATCAGAACCAAGCGCCTTGGCCCGAGCCATTCCCATATTAATTTTTGCCATGGCAGAATGGTTACAGGAGCTTTCAAGCAAATGTCAAATTTTATTTAATACTAAGAAAATGACACCGGCTAGTGGCTCTTTGACACCAAAAGGGGTCAAATTAATATTTTCGAAAGGATTAAAGTGACACCAGAATAGGGTCAATTTAATGACGTTCGGATCAAAGATTTTTTTCCACTCAATAGTGTCACATTGACACCTAAATAGGGGCATATTGATGACTACTTTTTTTTGGGTGTATTAATTAACAAATCGCAAAAATGTTCAATTTTCTAATATTTCTCATTAATTTTCCGATCGTTCCTATGCGAGCTATATGATATAGTCGTCCGATTTTGATTAAATTAAAATTGAAATTCGGAAATATTTAAAAAGAGTCATATCCTAGAGTAGAAGATAATACAATAAAACCAAAGAAGCTAGAATTTATTTCCTATTACTTTTCCATTAATTTTCGATCGTTTCTATGAAGCTATATGATATAGTAATCCCATTTTTTAAATAATTAATTCGAAATTCAGAAATATTTAAAAAATAACATCCCCAAAAGTAGAAGGTAATATTTCAAAAAAACACCGAGGCTAGAATTTTTTAAAGTTTTTTTTCCGATTGTTCCTATGGGAACTATAAGATATAGTTGTCCGATCCGGTCGGCTCCGACATATATACTACCTGCAATAGAAAGAAGACTTTTGCGAAAGTTTTGTCCCGATAACTCAAAAACTGAGAGACTAGTTTGCGTAGAAACAGACAGATTGACAGACGGACAGACGGACATGGCTAGATCGACTCGTCTTGTGATGCTGATCAAGAATATATATACTTTATGGGGTCGGAAACGTCTCCTTCACTGCGTTGCAAACTTCTGACTGAAATCATAATACCCTCTGCAAGGGTATAAAAATGAATCCAAAACTTATGTCATACAATGAAGCAAACAAATTAAACGCATTCGCGAGAGGCATCCACTTTGATTTATCAGAAAAAAGTTATTTTTATAGGAAAAAGTATAATGTGTTTTGGTGGTTAAAGTTTATTGTACAGAAATCACTTCACCAAGCACATTGTGCATTCTTAGACCACGACATAAAATCAGGAATGGTGGTGTCCCAGTTTCGATCAGGCTCTGAAAAAGTCTCGTATTTCTTCGGGACATTTCTTGGCCTTCAAGACCTCCTGCGATAGGCACTCAGAAACCTGGACGTCTGCGGCGAGCAGATTGCAGTGAGGAACCAAAGCAGAACGCGAAGTGCCAAGGGCAGACCCCGGATGGCAGGCGAGATTTGTGGGCTGGCGATAAGCGGGATACTTGAGTTATTGTGCGTTATTTTGTCACTCGGAGCGAGCTGTAAATAAATACACGCGACGGGGCCATAAATCAGCGGCTGGTGGCCATTCTGGCCAAGTCGCAAGTCGCCAGTCGGAGATTGGAGATGATGCAGTGGAGTGGCCGCTGGCCAAAGGCGATTGCAATGGAACCGGACCAGCTCCACTCTCCAATAGAGCGTGTCAATTAGGCGAAGGTCTAGTCTTCAGTCTTCTGTCCGACTGTCCCCTACTGTCCCTCGAATTAGATAGCGCTAATGAATGCTCCGCCTCTGGGCCGCCAGCCATTCCTCAATTCGCATTCGACTTTAATGGCCAATTCAATTGTGGCTGCAAAGCGCCATGGTCGTGCTTTTTTCAATTATTTGCCAGGCTGGGAGAAACGAAACGAACTCGTAAATTATTCGCGTAAAATATGCGACAATGCCAAATAAATCTTTCACAATCTGCCCCAGCAGAAGCGCCCAGTTCCCAGTTCCGAACTCTGAATTTTGGTATTTTTTCGGGGCCTCCGCCGCTTTGCATTCAACTCTTTGACTTCCGTTAAAGCCATCCCATACCATTCCATACCAACCCATCCCGATGGGGCCTATCAGACCTATCAGATGTCTACTAGCATTGCATTTCTTCGTTTTGTTTCTCTCTTTTCGCCGGGTGACTTTACAAACAGAATTGAAAATTTATTTACAGCCATGTGGCAGCAATTTACGTTGATGCGGCATAAGCCATGTGTCAGTCAGATGCCGCTTGAGCTGGCATTTTCCATTTTCCATTTACCCGCGCTCCCGATGAAAGAACGCTTTGGCAAAGCGTGGCCAATAAAGTTGGCTTAGCACGTTGTGCACCTTTCAACCTGGCTCAGAACGAAAGAAGAGCCGTCCGCCGCCAAGAAATCAGCGTAATAAAATCAAAAATCTCTGCCCGCTGTGCCGCTGCGGCTCTTAACCCTTTTAAGCCCCCGCGCGCCTCTTTAACTGTTTTTAGCCATTCCGCAAAATACTTACTTACCACTCGAATCCATCTGCTCTGTTCTCCCGCAGGTTCGCTTGTATTTCTCGCAAATACCCGACGACAAAGTGCCATACGTCAACAGTCCGGGGGAGCAGTATCGTGTGCGACAATTGCTGCATCAACTTCCGCCGCATGATAACGAGGTGAGTACGAAAAGAGGGAGGAGGGATCCTGACCCCGAACCCAAACCCCATACCAAACCCAAACCCCTCGGGATCGTGGCCCCGTCAATTTTGCGGCATTTATCCCAACTGGAGGAGCTGGCATCGCATGGCAGGCGCTTTATCGTGATTGAAACCAACTCGAATTACGGGCTATGACATTTCAAAGTCAAATTGTGCGGCGATTTTCCCACACACACCTTCCTCTTTTCCCATCCATAGAATCCCTCCCGACCATTTCCCGTTTTGTAGCCTTTAATTAATCGGGGAAACAAGTGCAGACTCCGACTGAGTTTGGTATTTAGAGCAGACGCTGACCACAAAAAACTAGCCAAACAAAAAGAGGGAATGCTGAGCGGATTCCCAGATATCAGTTACTTGGGTTTGGGGACAGTGATGGGCAAGTTACTAAGGTTATTGGATATACAAGGAACAGGATATATGGACTATACTATCATTAGATTACTGTCGTTCGAACAACAAATTTTTTTAACATTTGTGATGATTCTAAACGTGATGTTGAGTTTTTAAAGCCTTCAGAGTTTTTTAGAACATGAGTTTGTAAACGGTAACCAAATTAATACTCCTCCGAAATGAATGGGTACTATATGTTCAGCTACCGAGGCACTTCCCATCACTGTTTTCAGGATTTGGGGTCTGAGATCTGGGCTCTGGCTAACGATGACTAGAACACTCATTGAAGGCCGGCCTTTACTCGCAATGAGAAAAAAGAGAACCGAAAAATAAGTGGAGGCAGCCGAAAAAAATTTGCATACAACACACAAACGAGACTCGAACCGCAGACTCAGACTCCAACCGCAGTCCGTTCTGGGGGAGATGGGCCAAGCAGATCCAGATGGAGATGGAGATGCAGATGGAGTGGACAGCAGGAGGCTGGAGGTGAAGCGTTGATGGGCAGCCTGGGCTACTGGCTACCGTTTTGCCTTTTGCGGTCTGCTCTGCGTTTTTCTCCGGGCTCTGGGATTTGGATTTGTGGGTTGAGGATGTGGCTGTGGAATATGGGATGTGGGCCTGTCTGCCTGTCCGCCGAGACAAACAATCTCCGCCCGTTCCCTGTCCGCGCTTCTTGGAAAGATCACTTCAGGCAGCGGTTCGGTTTGGTTTGGTTTGGTTCGACCCACGGCTTTGGTTCCTCGCGCTGTCGAGCCCCACTTGAACATATGATTTCCCTGTGTTTTTCCGAAAGGAGGAGGAGGGGGTCGAAAGACGAAAGAAAAGCCACAGTTTTCAGTTACTCGCTGTCATTGCAGGTTCGTTACTGTCACTCACTGACGGATGAGGAGCGCAAGGAGCTGCGGCTCTTCTCCACGCAGCGCAAACGCGATGCCCTGGGCCGCGGCAACGTGCGGCAGCTGATGAGCGCCCGACCCTGCGACGGCGTAAGTATTCCATCCACCCACTTGGATGCCACAAATATCTAACTATTCATATGGATTATTACCCCACAGTGCGACGATCTAATTTCCACGGGCGACATCGCCGTGTTCGCCACGCGACTCGGCCCAAATGCCAGCTGGCATCCGGCCTGCTTCGCCTGCTGCGTATGCCGCGAGCTCCTCGTGGACCTCATCTACTTCCACCGGGATGGTCGCATGTACTGCGGACGCCACCACGCCGAGACCCTCAAGCCCCGCTGCTCGGCCTGCGATGAGGTGAGTGAACCTTTTAAAAATCGGAGGAGTTGAAAATAATATGGCTGCTGTCCAAAAATATTTGTTACAATTACGAGGGTGATCTAAAAACGACAAAAAAAAAAAAATATTTTTCATCAAACAGAATAATCTATAAAATAAAACTGTCTAAAAGTTTTTAATTTCAGTTAAAATATGGTTTAATGAATATTCCCCAAGATATTTTCAAAATAAAAAAATAAATTATAATTCAATTTGATTTTAGGCTCAAAATCGGTGGACAAAACTTTAAAAAGTTATGTAGATCATACGTTAAAATAAATCGACACTTTGAATATTTAACTGTAAAAAAATTTCTTAGGAACTTCTTAAACTTCCTCTATGATAGCGTATCGTTGCTACTATGCCCAAAAACGTAACAAATTTTTTTTTGACGCAATACTTTAAACATAGAGTTAGGTAAGACGGTTTTATTTCATTTAAAAGTGCCCAAGTATAGTCCTCTGGTGTTATCCACAAAAACAATCAATTCATTCAGACATTTTTTATAGAATCTTGGTAGGTGTATTTAAAAAATTATTATAAAATCATAGCCACCTAAACATTAGGTTCATTATTAAAAGCAGTGTTTAGATAATTTCCAAAAAATTTCAAAAATGTTTCTAATTAATTTCATCTAATTTATCTATCCTCAGATCATCCTGGCGGACGAGTGCACGGAGGCGGAGGGCAGGGCGTGGCACATGAACCACTTCGCCTGCCACGAGTGCGACAAGCAGCTGGGCGGTCAGCGGTACATCATGCGCGAGGGCAAACCGTACTGTCTGCACTGCTTCGACGCGATGTTCGCCGAGTACTGCGACTACTGCGGCGAGGCGATTGGGGTGGACCAGGGCCAGATGAGCCACGACGGGCAGCACTGGCATGCGACGGACGAGTGCTTCTCGTGCAACACGTGTCGCTGTTCGCTGCTCGGTCGCGCCTTCTTGCCACGAAGGGGGGCGATCTACTGCTCGATTGCCTGCAGCAAGGGGGAGCCGCCAACGCCGTCGGACAGTTCCGGCACGGGGATGTACACCACGCCCACTCCGCCCACGCAGCGGGTGCGCCCACATCCGCAGGCGCCCCTCCCGACGCGCATCCCCAGCAGCCACGCCTCCAGCTCACCGCCCATGTCGCCGCAGCAGCAGCAGCAACACCAGGCGACCTTCAACCAGGCCATGTACCAAATGCAGAGCCAACAGCTGGAGGCAGCTGGCGTTGGCCTGGTGGTGGAGCAGGGCAAGAGCTACGCCACCTCGGACTCGGATGCGGGTGTGGTCAAGGATCTGGAGCCCCACGGGCCACATGGCGGCGACCTGACGGACTTTTCAGGAGGTCGCGCATCCAGCACATCGCAGAATCTATCGCCTCTCAACTCACCGGGCGACTTCCAGCCGCACTTTCTGCCCAAACCCATGGAACTGCAGCGCGATGGGGTCTACAACTTCAACGAGATGTCCTCGAATCTGGATGCCGCCTGGCCGGCAAAGCCCACGAATAGCTATCAAATGCAGCGGCAGCTCCTGGAGAATCCGCACACCGCCAGCATGCCGGAACTGGGAATGTCGGGACAGATGGTGGCGCCACCCGCCCACTTGCAGCATTTGTCGCAGCTGCACGCCGTCTCCTCGTCGCAGCAATTCCAGCAGCAGCACGAGTACGCGGATATCCTCCATCCACCGCCTCCGCCGCCGGGTGAGGTTCCCGAACTGCCCACTCCCAACTTGAGTGTGGCCTCCACTGCCCTTCCACCCGAACTGATGGGCTCACCCACCCACTCGGCGGGCGAAAGGTCGCTAAACACGCCCCTCTCCACGCAGTCCGCCACCCATGGACCCCCGCATCCGGTGTCCATACTCAGTGGCGCCTCCTCCTCCTCGCCGATGAGCGGGGAGCCGGGCAAGAAGAAGGGCGTGCGCTTCGAGGGAATCCCGGACACTCTGCCGCGATCGCGCAGCTACTCGGGCAATGGAGCGGGCACGAGTGGAGGTGGCGAAAGGGAGAGGGATAGGGACAGGGAAAAGGATAAAGAGGGTGGTCGCCATGGTCATGGTCACGGGCACTCCTCCCGCCGACGAAGACGTCGCAAGTCCTCCTCCACCACCTCATCTCACCATCGCAGCGGCAGCGGGCATCGCTCGCACTCGACCACTCGGGCGGATACTTATGCGCCTGCGCAGCCACTCTCCTCCTCCTACCAAGGTCCACCCTCGGCGCTGCAGGCTGCCAATCTCGTCCAGGAGTCGCCCAATCGACAGCAGAGGGATCGGGAAAGGGACAGAGAGAGGGAGCGGGAGGAATCCGAGGAGTCGGACGTCTGCTCCACCTGCTCCTCGAGCTCCTCCAGCTCCGAGGACTACATGATGATGTACCAGCTGCCGCAGAGGCGCCACTACGGCGGGGTGCGGGTGAGCTATGTGCCCAACGATGCACTGGCCTACGATCGGAAGAGGAAGCCCAGCGAGATGGGCGGCGACAAGGACAAGAACTGCATCATCTCGTGATGCCGTCCGCCGGAGGGGGTTCCAATCAGAGCTCAGATACACAGATGTTATTAATGTGGCGGCAGCTAACGAAGTGGTTCAAAACGCTCGCGGAGATCATCAATTCCACGCACCACACAAAGCAAAATAAAGTTCAACTTGACATTAAGGCGCCTAGTTAAGATACACTCACCAACATACATATGCAACTCCGGAGGAGGAGAAACCCTACGATAAGAGCCAACACTGTTCCAAATACACATCCCTAGTTAAGCTAATTGAAGGTCCGAACTATATATATTTTTATAATTACCAGTAGCGTAGGGAGAATACAATGCAGATAACCCTATTTAAACACTTTATTTATATTTATTACACTACACTAGGCTTACCAGATACTCTAACTTTACGCCTAGACAAATAAGTAGATATGCAAAAGGGTTCCTCGAGACTCCGATGCCAGCAATTGGGCTAATGAAACTCTACAATAAATCTAGTTTAAGCCGACATTCACGAGAATAAAGAGTTCAAAGAAAGAGTATACGAAGATGTTTTAGTTGCTTTCAATGGAAGAGTAAGCTTTAAAGCTGTATATATATTTTCCTGTTATTTTCCTTTAATGATTAAAGCTCCAATCCAATCTATTTTATAGGATCCAATTGCCGATTCTCAATAAAAAGTGATACTTTTTTATGATTTTTTTAAAATTATATTTTTAACAAAAACGAAGTTGTCGATTTTTTAATGAGAAGTAACAGCGATAAATTTATGCTGTTTTTAACTTTTCACACCTGTACTTACTTTTGATTTGAGCACTTTTTAATCAAGTTACAGGCAAAAATACAGCTTTAATACAGTATTAATTTATAATTTATCTAAAAACACAGAAAAGCCTACGAAGTATTATGGTCAACCAGCGTATGCAAATAGTGCGATAAAAAGATAAACCTTTTTTATTGGCAAAGCTTTTAATGTTTGCAACACTCAGATAGCTATGTTTCGCTACAGATTTAATATAACAACCGTTTCCAAATGGTCACAAGCATTCTTTGCTGTATTAGTTTGGACAATTTGTCGGGCCAATTTGGTGACCTGGTGGAAGGCCTCGATAGCTCCGCTGCCTTATCTGCAGTATAATTATGCATCAGATAATGAATACAAATTACGCGCATGTCGAGCATTTGCATGCTCTGCATCCACCAGCGGCTGCAACATGGAAATTAAAATCGAAAATAAGGCAGGCAGGCGGAATTGCGCTGCCTGCTAATAAGTTGATGCCAAGTTATGGCATTCCGAGGCCGAGCCTTGGGATCTCCAGACTAGGGCCAGGTACCCGTGCTGTGGTCGCAGTAACCAACTGCCAACTGGCAGCCCGGTCGAAGTAAGAGCAATCACATGCATGCAACGCTGGCTGCAGGGCGTAATTAGCAAATAATGCCGGCCACTCAGGAGGGGCACAAAAGCTGGGGGCCCACCGAATGGGGGTGGGGCAAGTGGAACCCTTGTTCCTGCTTACTTTGTTAGAATCAACAACTTGCGCCCCAGCCGTCAGCTGAACAATGTTTGCATACATTCGACTGGTTCCGATGCACAGAGGAAAAAATCTCAGGCTAGTTGCTTCTGTAATTTATGCAGGGTAATCGGTCAGTAAAAAGTATAATAAAATAAGCAATTATTAGGTTTAACAGCATGAAATTACGAGTTCATCTACCTTTTCTGTCTAGAATACTAGATACAGGTTATAAAAATATTCTGCAGATTTTACTATGCATGCTAAAACGTAAAAAATGTGTCGATTAAAAGCCCTTTCTGTTTATTTTATTCTAAAAGACATTTTTGTTATGCTTTATGTAGAATTTTATATTTTTTTTACTGACTATCAAAAGTTAGTAAGCTTTGTGGGACTTAAATAAAGATTTGTCTATCAATACATACACACAAAAAAAAGCACGTCGCCGTAAAATCGATAAGTCCAGGTAATTTTCTGGTTATTCCTACTCATATCGTTTTTACCTGAAATATTCATAAAATTTACATTAAATAATATCATTTTGCCGAATTCTCTCTCCGAAGATTCTCTAACTTCGAAAAAGAGCGCAAGAATCAATATGGCGAGCAAAATGACTTGAGTGGAAGCGAGAAAGTCGTATTCGAAATTCGAACTGACGTACTTCGAAAGCATGTTTTCTCGCTCGCACTAGTATAAGTTTTGGTCGACCATATCACATTTACCTGGCCCCATATCAAGTTAAAAATGATCTTAAAAAAGGTCAAATTGACCTACGATTCATATCGAGTTTTTTTTGGGTGTATATGTATTTTTTATTACTAAATAATTATGATGGACTCAACTCCGAATGATTCAGATCCCATCAATTAGTTGATATTTTCTCTGTGTACTCCTGATAGTGTAGAAAATCATTGGCAGCTGTGTAATTTGTGGAAATGCCCCCGTCTATGTCCAGTTAGTCGCCTGGCCCGGCTAATGGCCACTTAATAACGCCCATCCCGGGGCACTTCGCTTCCTCCAGCCCTCAGTCCGAATCCAACTTCTCCCATGAAAGTGCCACCTGCATGCTGCGGACTGGCGATGCGACCGAGCGATAAGCGACCAAAATTGTCTGCGTCTGGCATTGATAAGCCAAATGACTTTGGCGTTAACGCACAGACGTACGGGAAATATATCTCAAAAATCGGGGTTGGAGATCCCTACTCCAACTGGACACCAGCCGAATGGCAAGGACTCTCTGGGCACGCAACTTTTGCAATTGTAATTCCGCAAAGTTTCTACTGATTCGAGGACAGGGAGAGCAGGGAGGCAAATGCATTTGCCAGATAGATTTTTGTTGTTAGATGCCATTTTTCGTTATAATCCAGCGACAGAGCGACAGACACAAAGGGCGAGCTTTCACTGCTTTCCCAGCTTTCCCTGATTTCCCTGGCTTTCCCTGGCTTTCCCTGCTTTCACTCGATGCGTGCGCCTTTGTGTTTTATTGCATGTCATTTCCGCTGCCGTTTCCTCCGGCCGCTGGCATACTTCTGATGATTGGTCTGCTCCTGTCTGGCGGGCATCCTCCGGCAAATGCAGTGCAGCCATTATGTTTATCCTGCCATACATACTGACTGATACTGCCATGTTCCGGAGTGCCCCATCCTTATCCCTATCCTATCCCATCCGCCCGGTCAGATGTACACTTGTACATCAGATATGGCTGAATTTATATTCGCATTTCCGACGCTCATTTTTATCATGACCGAAAACTGGGGACCAAACACACTCCGCCGGCAAATTGTAAATGTGTGCAGCTGCAGTACTTATTTTTCTGGGCGGTGGGCCTGGGAGTATGTATTTGGTTGGACAAACAACTGAGGGAACTTGGAGGATGGCGACTTTTATTGGGGCCGTGACTGCATGGGACAATCTGCTCCTGGCATTTGGCTGCGCTTTTCAAGCGATTGTTTCCCGTACTTTCAACGGTGCGGTTTTTATTGCAAAATTGCACTTCACTTTAGTCGCCCTCAATGGGAAGAGAAACTTGAACAGCCCACGAGTTGAAGTGAATATTAAGAGAATTTAAAAGCAGGTTGAATTTAAGAAATAATAATAATTTAAATTTACCAGCTGTAGAAAGATTTAAAGCTTTTAAGTTCTGCAGGGGATTTGTTCTATCGCTGAAAACTTCGATTAAAAGTGATTGCCTACTTAAGGGCGCAAAAATGTCTAGCTTTAAATTAAATAAAAATCTCTTGCAAACTTTAACTCGCTAAGAAGATAGTAAACTTTTTATGAATATTTGTTCACTAGATTTTTAAATACATATTTTTTTAGTTGCTTAAAGAAGACATTAAAGTTTAAGAGCTTTTAAGTTATAACACTCACTTTAAAAAGTATATACATATATTACTCCATTTCGATTAGTTCGAAATGTAATTGACAGTGAAATTTATGGTGTCTGACACAAAAAAAAAATACTTTACTAATAACCAACGCGAAATGCGCACAATTCGGTTATGAAAATGTTATTAACTCCTGCAGAAGGAAATGAGAAAAAATGTGTAATTTATGTGCCCAGCGGAGAAGCTTATTATTGCAGTCATTTTCCGCATTTCCAATCTCCCCCAAAAAAAACCCACCCACTATCGACTGGAACGGGACTAATGGCGCAGCTTTCAGCAATTGTTTACTGGCCCATTAATTAATACAAATATAAATTGGCAATATGAGTGCGTGCTGCTCACACTCGGCTCAAAGAGCAGCGGCAGCAAAAACAATGAATCAAGTGTAGGCCCGGATCCGGTCCGGTCCGCCAATGTCCGTCCGAAAGTCCGTGGGGTTTGGTCGAGTCAGGCGCATAAATAACCACGAAATGGCCGAGCAAAAACAGAAATGAAAAAAATATGTTTGTATACAATATATACCCAGCACACATATATATATATTTATGCCCTTCGCCTAGAACGTTTAATTAATTTTTAGCGTGTTTCGCAGCCCCCCAAAAACCAGGCAGCAAAAAAAAGAAACAATTATTAATATTCGCCCGGCCCAAAGTCCCTGCCCCCGAACCCACCACCCAATCTGACGGGCACGTTCACACTCCCCATTCGAGGAACCATTAAACGGGATACATAATCATAACTAATAATAATCATGTGCCGGACGCAGTCGCTCCTGTGGACTTAAAGAGATAGCGGAAGTCGTCGTCCTGAGGAAGTGGGAGTAAGTGCGCACGGCTCGAATTAAATTAAGCATTATTGATGGCGGGACCTGGTCTTGGTCCTGCTCTCCAGGCCACTGTAACCGTCTGGTATTTATCGCACCGTAGTCCCTGCAGCCAGCAAGTCCAACAAGTCAGCCATAAAGAGTCAGCCGAAAGCCAGTACAGTAGGACAAAAGCAAAGAATTAGAAACATAAATTATGAATTCTGTTCAGGCTCCAAACCAGGCTTTAGAAATATTTAAATCATTTTAAAAAATAAGAAAATTCCAAATAACACTATAAAACAGGAGAACAACAGTAGCCTATACATTTATATCTCAATCTTGAAATTGCCTTTTTTTTAAATTTAATGGATTTTTTTCAGATTAAAAAAATAATGTCAAGGACCACGGAAATTAACATTCTTATTTATTTATAAGTATAGCACACTCCAATATTCCCATAAATTTACCCCAATTCGTATGATCCCATATTTTGATCATGTATTAATATAAACCTATTAACCCACTGTAAAGAACTTTCGTGAGTGGAATGCCAATTTGATTTGCCCCCGTATCATTAGCCGAACTGACTTGGTCTTTGTCTAATGTGCAAATCTAATTAAAGCTGCACTGAGCGGAAACTCGGACCCCATATGTGACTAGATGGGCGTGGGTGATGGAGCTGGTTGGCCACAGTCGGTTGTAGCCACTGTCCCCACAATAAATACCACAAATAATCATAAAACTAATGCTGCAGACGCTTCCAGTTCCCCAGTTCCATTTCCATTCCTTGGGAACTACTAGCCGAAAACCAGACAGGGTCTCTTC